TTAGGGGCAATCAGGCAGGCAGGCAGGAGAGTGGTTGGGAGCCAGCAGTCCCAGATTGTGAGAGGGATGTCCCAGATTGGAGAGGGCGCAGGCTGGGCTGAGGGACACCCCCCACCCCCCGTGCATGAATTTCATGCACCGGGCCTCTAGCCTATATATATAAAAGCCTAAGCGACCGAACGACCGTTTGCTATGACACGCACTGACCATCAGGGGATAGATGCTCAATGCAGGAGGTGCCCCCTGGTGGTCAGTGCCCTCCCACAGCGAGAGCACCACTCAGCTGACCAATGGGCACCAGAGGCGGAGCTCACAGCTGGCAAGCGCTGCTATGGTGGCGGCACGAGCCTCTCCCGATCGGGACTGACTAGGCGTGAGCCCACAGCAGGCGCAGCAGGGCCAGGATGAGCAGGAGTGGCAGGCAGTGTTGGACTGCCAGTTTCTGCCTTATCCCTGCAGGCCACGCCGAGGGACCCCACTGGTGCACGAATCCATGCACCAGGCCTCTAGTTGATATCTGTGGCTGCTTTTGAGCTGTGATGCCAGAGTTCAGTAATTGTAAGATAGACTATTTGGCCTATAAAGTCAAAATATTTTCTATATGACCTTTTGTAAAAAAAAAAAAAAAGCTTTCTGACTCAATCTTTTTGAAGGAGCAGCTTTTGGCTTAGTTGATATTCTTAGTTGTGCCTGTGTGTGTGTGTGTGTGTGTGTGTGTGTGTGGTTCTGCACAATTTATTTTATTGTTCTTTTCTAATTGAAGTTGTGTGCTTAGTTCATTAATGTCCAGCTCTTCTTTTCTAAGGAAGCAATTAAGGCTATAAATTCTTACTATTTATTGTATTAGCATTATTCAAAATTGTGATATGAGGTTATTATTTTTCCCAATGATTTCTAACTGAATTACATTGTAGTCAGAGAACATGGTTTGAATGCTGCCAACCCTTTAACTTTTGTTGAGATTTCAGTTATGGCCCATATGTAGTGAGTGCTTTTTATATATTTCTGCAGTTGTGATAGAGTGTTCTGTGTTTGTCTGTTTTAACAAGCTTATTAACTCTGTTATTCACACTTTCTAGTCTTACTTTTTTTTTTACTTGCTCTGACAATAACTGAGAGTTGTGTGTTAAAGTCACCTACTGTGATTATGGAGTTGTCTATTTCTCTTTGTATTATGCAGTAACCTTATTAATCTTTAATAATGCATTTTTCTTTAAAAATTTATTTTCCTTGATATTAATATAGATACATGTGCTTTCTTTTTGTTAGTAATTGCTGTTAGATCTTTTTTCTATCCTTTTACTTTTCAGTAGTTCCTAATCCATGTTTTAGAGACATCTCATAAATACCAGTAGTTGGATTTTTTTTTTAAAAAATCCAGTCTTATATTCTTTATCTTTTAACTAGAACATTTGGTTCATTTACATTTATTATAGTGACTAATATGTTGAATTTATTTCCATTGAATTGTTTTGTATCTCTTCCCCTTCCCAACTCTTTATATCTCAGATTGACCATCTGGAATAAGTCAATTTTAGCCTGAAGTGCGTCATGTAGAATTTCCTTAATAAAGGTCTGCTGATGGCAAACTATGTCCTTCCCCACCTCACTAGAAATTATTTTTATTTTGCCCTGATTCTTTTTTTTTTTTTTTAATCCTCACCCCAGGACATGCTTATTGATTCTTTAGAGTGAGAGGAGAGGGGAGAAAGATAGAAACATCAATGTCAAAGAGCAACATAGATTGATTGCTTTCCTGTGTCCTGACTGGGAATTGAACCCCCAACCTCTCCGTGTAGGGACGACGCTCCAACCGAGCCACACTGGCCAGGGCTGCCCTGATTCTTAATTGACATTTATTCTGGGTATTCTATATTGTCAGTTATTTTCCCTAGTAATTGAAGATACCATTTCCTTGGCTTTTGGTTTTCATTTTTGTGTTTAGAAGTTAATGGTTATCTGACTATTGTCTGCTTTTGAACTCTTCTGTTTGCCTCTGCCCCAATTTCTTCTCTCCTTCTAATTTCTCAATTTTCCTGTTTTGTTTGTTTGTTTTACTATAGTACTCTTTAGTCATATTTTCAACTTTTATTTCTTTAAATGAAGTCTTTAAGGGTCTGATTCTGTTATCTGTTGTTTCTCCTGATTTTTACTTTTGATGCTTTGGGGGATTTTTTGGGTGTTTTATGATTTCTGTCTGTGAACTCATTTTTCTTGGAAGTGTGGGAATGTTTTGAGGCCCAGGAAGAAAATGGACTCTCCTAGAGGTTATTTGCTTTTGATTTTACCAGGCATCTGTACTCTGCACACTACAACTCTGGGACTCTGTGCAAACAAAATCACAGCCTCCGTAGTGTGAATTAGGGCTGAAATCTGAGGGCTGATTTGGGGTTAGGAAACCTCAAGAGAGCATCTCTGTTCTCTCCCACTCAGTAACAAGGTCCAAGACAGGTAATTCCCCTGCTCTGTCCCTGGGGGTGCAGGTGTATTTCCAAGTCAGCCTTGCATTGGGTGTATAGTGCTTAGTGATTTCAGCCTTATGGAGGAGAGGTCTTAGACTCCTCGCCTTCGATGGGTCCTGGGTGTTCCCTCCACACTCACTTTTCCTCTCACCACTCTCCCTCCACTCTCACCAGCCCCACGAGGCTGTGAAGGTTGAAGCTCAAGTTCATCTGGTTTAGTAACTGTCCCTAATGTACTCCTTTGAGATACTGTCTTCATTCATTTTGACCTGAATAGTCCTTACTGTTTTGCTGGCCCATCGATGTATTTAAGGTCATGTTCTTCCCCTCTATTTTATCCAGAAATTTTAGTTATCATGGTACCTAGCTCTCCGTGTGCTGGAGACGAAAGTCTTGATTGCGTTGAGCCTCCCTGTCACCCAGCATTCACCTGGCATTTTATGCCAACAACATTGAACCCAAAGTCACAATCATTTGATTGCTAAAGGTTATAATTTTAACTACCAGCAAAGAGAATTTTTTAAGTCTGGTTATGATAGAAAGCTAAGTTTAAGAAAATTTTTACATCAAGTTATGAATGGAATTTTGGTATTTTTATCCACGAAAAGAGGAAGCGGAGGAGTAAGTAAAACAATTAGGGAGAATATCTTATTTCATACTTCAACAAAATTAGAAACTTAGAATTTAAAAAAATTAGCATTGTGATCCAGTCTGTGACTACTGTTTTGGAGTATTTGTATCGTTTTTAAAAAATAGAATCGTCGTTGATTTAATTATTAGTGCCTAGGAGCATGTAATCTATAAAACATTGACAGAAAATACATTTTTGATGGGGAAGTTTGATGATCATCTTCTTACTACAACTTGGACTGGGTTATAGCTATTTCTCTAGCCTCAGTTTTTTTACCAGAAAACTCCCTGAGGGCCTAGAAAGTTCAGTCTACCTTTTTGGTTGATTGGAACCTGAATTTAATAACAAAGAATGTTATGTTTGTTTTTCTTAGTTTCTGGTAGGATGATGGGAGGAATGCTAGAACATTGTTTTCCGTTTATATTGAAAAGTTATTTTCTTTGGTTGTGCATAAGCTGATACTTCTGAAACGTTTTCAATTAGTATTTAAATCAACCTCATTCTGGACATTTATACTACCCCAAGTTTTTTTTTTTTACAAATCTTTACTGAGCATCTAATCCATGCCAAATGCTGATGTAAACAAGCCAAGTCTCTGTCTTAATACATGATAAAAGTAAAAAATACAGCATACGTAAGTGAACAAAGATTACAAGAGTGCATTCACATTTATATGTTTATATTTACACAGAGAAATATTGGAACCATACATTAAAATATTAAGTCATTCTGGATGGTTGCATGCTGTATTTATTGTCTTCTTTTGCTTCTCTGTATTTTTTTTTTTTTTTTGCTTCTCTGTATTTTTAACAAATTTAAGAAAAATGGTTGTTAATAAAGTAGGATGCCTGTGTGGGGAGAAACAGTAAATGCCCGATTTCTTATAAAAGAAAAACAAGAGCTAACACTAACAAGGGCTTTGTGCCGGGTGTGTCTCCTCATGACCTCCTGTTGCTATCACCACCTTTGCGGTGGCGATATGTCCCTGTTGGGCCCTGAGCAGACTGAGGCTCTGAGCTGTTACATGTCCAGAATCCCATAGCTGGTGAGTGACGGGCAGAACCTGTCCCAGACCTGTCTGCCAGCAAACCCTCTTCTCTTCTTGCCCCCAATCATGCCTTGAATGAGTATGTTTCTTGCTTTTAAAATAAGTCTAATATTAACCCTTGGCAATTCCCTACATCTACTTAAATTGACAAATTATGTGAAAAAATGTTCTAGCTTATAAAACTATTACAGGTTTTGAGTTTTGGATAACATTTGCTATTTTAAATTTTACTACAGGGTGTTTGGCCACTAGTAACTCTGTATTGGCAATGTTTAACTCTTGGGTGAAAGAACAGAATGAGGTGACTCTCAACGACTCTAAGACCTCGCTTTTCCATTGCAGTCCTAATTTGTGATAACTATTCGAAATGATTTGGTAAATATTTAACTAAAATCGTTTAATTTTTATTCCTTCAGGAATTTTTATGTCAGTTCGCATTGAAAAAAAAAAAACTTCTAGACTATGTATACTCACTTTTAGTTAGGGAAATATCATCACCTTATCACATAGTGAAATCCCGTGGTTTTTCATAAGAAAAATGAGATGCAGGACACCTTTTACTTTTTATTTTGATTTTGCTTATTTTCCATAAACTCTCATACCTGAACAAAAATAAAGCGTATAAACAAATAAACCTACGGTGACTATTTTGATTACTTTGAGTTCTGAGAGATGATAGGTACTTGATTTTCTTTGGAAATTAGGCATTAGGACTAATTAGGAATAAAGACCTTCATGATTTTTTTTATAAATTCTGATTTCATTATATATTGACATGACATGTTTATATTCTATTCTTAGGTGAAATGTTTTATATGTCGATAAATTGAAACACAGATGTTTCTATTTTGATACGCAGCTCACTGTTAACGAAGCGGCTGCTCAGCTCTGTGTGAAGGATAACGCCCTCCTGACAAGAAGGGATGAACTTTTCGCGCTGGCGAGGCAGATTTCTCGAGAAGTCACCTATAAATACACTTACAGAGCCACCAAGTAAGTTTAACTCATTGGCAGCACTTGTGCATTTTTTGAGAGAAGTAGAGCTTGAAATACCAACCATTTGATAGTATATAAATGAGCATTTCTGAAAACAGTGTGATTATAGTTCAACTAGAGGCCCGGTGCACAAAACCTCAGCCCAGCCTGCACCCTCTCACAATCCGGGACCCTCGGGTAGGTCCCTAGGCCTGGCCTGAGATCAAGGCTATCGGGGCTTTCCTTCTCCTGGCTGCAGGCAGCTGGCCCCACTCCTGCCGCTGCCACTGCCTGCCATCTGTGCAGCGCTGCCCCCCCTCCCCTGCCACAGGTGGCCTTCCTCTGCAGGCGACAGGCTGGGGTGCGATGGCTTGGCTGGTCTGGGCCTCCCTCTTTCTTTGCTGGGGGGCAGGGACAGCCCTGCGAGGGGCCGTCTGCCTACCTGATTGCCCCTAACTTATGGCCTGCCTACCTGATCGCCCCTAACCCCTTGCCTGCCTACCTGGTCTCTTCTAACTGCTGGCCTGCCTACCTGATCACCCCTAACCACTCTGCCTGCCTACCTCATCGCCCCTAACCACTTGCTTGGGGGCCGGGCCAGCCCTGCGAGGGGCCATCTGCCTACCTGGTCTCTTCTAACTGCTGGCCTGCCTACCTGATCACCCCTAACCACTTGCTTGGGGGCGGGGCCAGCCCAGCGAGGGGCCGTCTGCCTACCTGGTCTCCTGCCTACCTGGTCTCCTCTAACCACTTGTCTGCCTACCTGATTGCCCCTAACCACTTGCCTGCCTGCCTGATTGCCCCTAAGCACTTGCTTGGGGGCGTGGCTAGCCCAGCGAGGGGCCATCTGCCTACCTGATCACCCTTAACCGCTGGCCTGCCTACCTGATCACCCCTAACCACCTGCCTGCCTACCTCATCGCCCCTAACCACTCTGTCTGCCTGCCTGATTGCCCCTAACCACTTGCTTGGCACTGCCAGCCCGGCTGGCATGGCTCAGTGGTTGAGTATCAACCTGTGAACCAGAAGGTCATGGTTTGATTCCCCGTCAGGGCACATGCCTAGATTGCGGGCTCAATCCCCAGTGTGGGGCTGCAGGAGGCAGCCGATCAATGATTTTCTCTCATCATTGATGTTTCTATCTCTCTCTCCCTCTCCCTTCCTCTCTGAAATCAATAAAAATATTAAAACAAAACAAAACAAAAAATATTGCCAGTGTTTTTTTGTTTTGTTTAATTCTGTTTGTCTTTCTTTAAAAAAAGCAGTTCCCTGGCACTATGACATTGTTCTGGTGGGTTTCAGACAGTCCCTCATGCAGATGCTTGGGCTGTGAGTGTGATGATGGGGTTTAGTTAGTCAGCATTCTAGACTGATCTGTACACCACTCACTGTATGCAATTGAACTCAGAGGAAGAAGCAGGTTAGTTCCTCTTGCGAGGTGTTTTGAGATTAGCTGAATAAGTAAAAAGAATCCATTGACCAGTATTTAAGGGAAATTGGAAGATATTTTTATTACTAGCAAGTGGAATATGGAACATGTGTTTGAAGGAAAAAAAAACTAATGTTAAAAAACAATGATGGTTCTCAAATGTAAACACTCCTCACTTGAGCTCTAAGTACTGTCTGTGGGTGTAGTGCCCCTCGACTTTGCCCCCTCGGTTCCACGTGGTCCCTGGCTCCCAGTGCCCATCCTTGGTGCATGCCCCTGCGGCTCTGAGCGCTTGCAGATGGCCACCCACGTGACAGTGATGGAGCCTGTGCTGAGCCACATCCTCAGCACCCTGCCCGGCCCCAGTAAATCACAGTCTCTGGGGACGGAGCCTTGGAATTTAAACGACACGCATCCAGACGATCCTGTGCACGTCCAAGTTTGAAAACCCCCTCCTGGTTGTCATCGCCATTGTTTTTCCTAACTCAGAGCGCTTCTCGCCACTGGAGCTCACATATTTACAAAGTGACAACAACTGAAATTATGCAGACTAAATGAGCAGGGTAACAATATACAGCAATATGATAGGGTCACTTACAAGATTTTTTTTTTTTTTTTGGAGTTAGCTCATCAAGAGCTGATTTAGTGATTTTTTAAAATTTTCTTTACTGTATTATACAAAATGTTCCTTCTGATTGCTTTATTTAAATAATTTTCTTGAATCAAAGTAATACGTGTCCATGATTTAAGAAGTCATATAGTGCACAAGTTTTACAGTGGAACTCAGCAGTTCTCCTGCTCACCCCTTTCTCTCTTTCCCCTTCTTAATATGGCCTCTAGAGGCAACTACTTTCAACAATTTTTAGCTGTTTTTTGTAGTATTTGTATTTATTTTTTAAGTTAAATATATTTCAAAATACATAACACTTCTATATAATTTAGAAGGCAAAACTATGTAAATAGGTAACACAAAAAAGTTGCACTCCCATTTCTGTCTCATTTTACCTTGTTTTTCTCCTCAATGTAGATAGCTTTTTAAGTGTTTTTTTTTATATCTTTGCAGTGTTTATGTACATGCAAAAAAATATAGTTTCTCATTTTCACCTTTTTAAAAAAACACACAATAGGTAGCGTGTGTCTATATTATTCTATATTTCGCTCTTATTTAAACACTAGAGGCCCATGGGGTCCCTCTGCCTGGCCTGCGGGATCGGGCTGAAACTGGCTCTCCGACATCCCCCAAGGGGTCCTGGATTGTGAAAGGGTGCAGGCCAGGCCGAGGTATACCATCAGGCCGGCCAGGGAGGGATGGCGGCAGGGCTCCAGGGCGTGTCCGGCCCATCTCGCTCAATCCAAATCTGCCGGTTGGAGCATCTGCCCCCTGGTGGTCAGTGCCCATCACAGCGAGCGGTTGAGCAACCTTAGCATATTATTAGCATATTATGCTTTGATTGGCTGAACGGACTACCGGACCCTTAGCATATTAGGCTTTTATTATATAGGAAGTCTTGGAGATCTCTCTCTATACATATTAGTACATATACATCTTCCTCATTATTTTTTACATTGATGTATCATGATTCATTTACCCAGTACCCTATTGATGGATACCTGAGTTGTTTCTAGTCTTTTTCATTATAAATAATACCACAGTAAATAACATTATGCATATCTTATTTATTCTGAAGTTCACGTTTTTGACACTCTTAACATCTTTTATATTAGGGGTGGGGAACCTTTTTTCTGCCAAGGGCCATTTGGATATTTATAACATCATTTGCGGTCCATACAAAATTATCAACTTAAAAATTAGCCTGCTAGATTTGGTCAGACATTTAATTAACTCACCCCAATGCCTTGGCAGGGCCAGACCAAATGATGTCTCGTGCCTCATATGGCCCGTGGGCCAGATGTTCCCCACCCCTGTTTTACATGAAAGTGTAGCAGAATTGATGGCTCGCCATAGTTCAATCGGCAGTAGCAGGTCACATATGTGTAAGGCCTCTGTGGGCTAGGTTCCCAGCAGAGGGATCTCTAGGTGAAGGGGGAGTGTGTTGTTGTCTCGGTAAGTAGATAAAAAGCATTTTAATCTCATGTCGCTTCAGGTATTCATCTTAAATGGCCATTGTTGTCATTTTGTCCTAAATTGTTTCTACTGACCCATAAAGGGATATTATGGAATACAATCCTCAATTTTTTTTCCTTTTTCATTATGTGATAATCATTACATACTTATTGAGTACTTTCTGTGTGGGGAATTCTAAATAGTATACATCTTTAAAAATGTATAATAATTGCATCTGCATCTTTCAGTGTTAATTTAAAAATGAAAAATCTAGTTTGCCCTAACTGGTTTTGCTCAGTGGATAGAGCATCAGTCTGCAGACTGAAAGGTTCCAGGTTCGATTCCGGTCAAGGGCATGTACCTTGGTTGCGGGCACATCCCCAGTAGGAGGTGTCCCTTCCTCTCCTGTAAAAAACAATAAAATATATATTTAAAAAAATAAAAATGAAAAATCTAGTTTTCCTCACTTTAGTGTTCGTTATGCATGTCTTACTTTTGGTGTCAGGTTTCAGGGTTATATGTTTCAGTGGAAGTTTATAGATTAAGATGTCTCTAGAATAAAATTTCTTACCTTCTCAAGTTTGTCTCTCTCCCATTCCCCTCAGGTCAAAATGTGGAGAAAGAGATGAATTATCCCCGAAGAGAATTAAAGTGGAGGTATGATTATGTTATTTTCTTTTCTTATGTTAATAATGTTTGCTTTAGTAGTTTAAAGTAAGAAAAAAGGATGGTCCCATAAACTAGTGAAAAATGTGAAATGCAGTATCTTAAAAGCAATATATAATTTTTTTGCTTTGATATATCTATGGTCATTTGAACTAGGATCCTAAGGAAGTTCTTAGAAGGAAACAACAATGATAAGATTGATGCCCAGTTGGTTTATCAAAGGTTGATTTGTAAATAGGTGTTTTTTACAGATTTTAAACTCTACAGGTTAAACTATTTCTTTTTTAATCTTATTTACAACGTAAGTCACCTTATTAAGTATTTTTAAAAGGAGCTAAGATTTAATTTCTTTACATTAACTATCTGAGGGAAATGACAATTAGTAGGTGCAAATTATAGAGACTTCAGTGTAATTAAAGCCTCTTTTAGGGGACATGTTTGAGGCTGTCCTTCTAATTTTAGACCTGCTAGTGGAGAGGTGGGAGAACTATTTCTTTTTAATCTTATTTACAACATAAGTCACCTTATTAAGTATTTTTAAAGGAGCTAAGATTTAATTTCTTTACATTAACTATCTGAGGGAAATGACAATTAGTAGGTGCAAATTATAGAGACTTCAGTGTAATTAAAGCCTCTTTTAGGGGACATGTTTGAGGCTGTCCTTCTAATTTTAGACCTGCTAGTGGAGAGGTGGGAGTTAAGCAAGAACAATGTGCTTCTCGTAGGGCTCTCAGAACTCAGATGGTTTCAGAACTCGTTCCTTAATTTGGATTGATACAGTAGTTCCCCCGCTGCCCAGCCATGGTTTCACTTTCCATGGTTTCAGTTACCTGTGGGCTCAGTTTCCCACAGTCAGCTGCAGTCCAGAAATATTAACTGGGAAATTCCAGAAATAAACAATTCACAAGTTTTAAATTCTGCACCATTCTGAGTAGCGTGATGAGATCTCGCTCTTTCCCGCCTGGGAGGTGAAACGTGCCTTTGTCCGGAGTACCCAGGCTGTGTATACTCTCTGCCCATGAGTCCCTTGGCCGCCTCGGTTATCGAGTAACTGACAGCATTGCGGTGCTTCTGTGCAAGGAGCCCTTATTTGACTTAATAATGAATGCTGAGTGCAAGAGCAGTGATGTTGGCAGTTCAGATACGCCAAAGAGAAGCAGTAAAAGGCATTCCTTAAGTGAAAAGGTGAAAGTTCTCAACCTAATAGGAAAGAAAAAAAAACCATATGCTGATGTTGCTAAGATCTACAGTAAGAACCAGTTTTTTTACCTGTGAAATTGTGGGTAGAAAAAAGAAATTTGTGTTAACTTTGCTGTTGTACCTTAAGCTGCGAACGTTATGGCCACAGTGCGAGGTAAGTGCTTAGATATGATGGAAAAGGCATTAAACTTGTGGGTGGAAGACATGAGCAGAAAGTGTGTTTCAATTGATGGCAGTGTGTTGCACCAGAAAGCGCTGAGCCAACACGCAGACTTCAGTAAGGGATCTCCTGAAATGACTGACACCAGCCACTTACTGCAAGTAAGGGATGGTCATACAGATTGAGGACTAGGTTTAGGCTGAAAAATATACAAATTACTGGGGAGGGAGGGAAGGAGGGAGGAGAAAGAGACCACATTCACATAACCGTTATTACAGTCTGTTGTTATACTTGTTCTTTTTTAATAGTACTTGTTGTTAATCTCTTACTGTGCCTGATTTATAAGTTAGACTTTATAATAGGTATGTATGTGTAGGAAAAACACAGCACATACAGGATTCAGTGCTATCTGGTTTCAGGCACCTGCTGGGGGTCTTGGGATGTGTTCCCTGTGAACAGGGTGGGGCTGCTGTACTTTCTTAGGGCCCAGTCAGTAGCAGAGGAGATATTTTGAAGTCTGGTGGCACCTTCCTTGTTTTCTTGGGTAGGAGATAGGGCTCGGTGCTCCTAGCCATCCATTATTGGATTTCAAGGTAAAGCAAATAAGCTATGTTTGACTACCCTAAATATCTATCATCAAGTAAGATCTGTTTGTATTGGAACAGTCCGTCATTTACACCAAAGCCACAGTTACCCTTTAAAAACATAAATCCCTTTTTTGCTTACATCTCTCCAATGGCTGTCTACTATACTTAGAATAAAATCTACACTTTTCCCTTAGGGATCTAAAACCCTGCATGATCTGACACTGGGTGGCGTCTCTGACCTCATCTGCTACCACAACTCTTGTTGTGTCTCACCTACATGGACCAATTTTCTGTTCCTGGAACAGGCCAAACTCACTTGTGCCTCCGCATCAGTTATCTCTACCTAGATCTCACCATAGTCACTTGGTTTCCTCTGACTCCACTGCCTCCCTTTCTAAAAGGAACACCCTTACCCCCAAATCATTTAGGCTCATTCTCATGGTTTGCTTAGTTTGTTTTCCTACCACCTCCCAGTATCTGGAACTACTATATATTTGTTTTAAATTTATTATCAGTCTGCACCATTAAATGTGAATAGAGCTTTTATCTGTCTATCCAGCATATCTTAATACTGAATTTAGAAGAGTGACTTACACTTGATAGGCATTTAATAAAATCTGTTAGATGAAATGATGAGTAGCTATGGATAAGCATCTTTGACTTCTAAAATCTTTAACCTAAACCAACACCTACCTGCTGCCTCTGCTTAGGATCGAACCTGCCATCAGGCCTGTGCCCTGACCAGGAGCCCCCCCGGCACCCTTTGGTGCACGGGACGATGCTCAACCCCCTGAGCCACACCTGCCAGGGCTGAGCTTCCTTTAGTAGCTTGGAGTATTAGGTTAGAGCGTTAGATGTGGCCCTTCTCTTCCTTTAGAAATAGTCCACTAGCGATGATGGAATTAGAGTTCCGTATGGTTGGTTGGTTGATTTACTGCAGTTCACAAAGCTCTTTGAATAGTTCTGAATTTAGAATTAAGATAATCAGCCCAGCCAGCATGACTTAGTGGTTGAGTGTCAACCTATGAACCAGGAGGTTATGGTTCGATTCCGGTCAGGGCACATGCCCGGGTTGTGGGCTCCATCCATCCCCAGTGTGGGGCATGCAGGAGGCAGCTGATCAGTGATTCTCTCTCATCATTTATTTTTTTTATCTTTCTCTCCCTCTCTCTTCCTCTCTGAAATCAATAAAAATATATTTTAGAATGAAGATAATCAGTGTTTCCTTTACTGTGAATAATAGTCCTATCCTTTTCTAGATAAAACATGTGACTAACCAGTCCCAAGCTTCTTTAAATGCTCTTACAGACACTAAACTCTTGATTTTGTTTCCCAGAAATAAATATGGACTTTAGCTTTGAATTTAGAACGGTAGTTTACTTTTTTGTTGTTGTTTTTTATTATTAAATATATTTTTATTGATTTCAGAGAAGAAGGGAGAGGGAAGAGAGAGAAAAACATCAATGAAGAGAGAGAATCATTGATTGGCTGCCTCCTGCATGCCCCCAACTGGGGATCGAGCCCCCAACTCGGGCATGTGCCCTTGACCAAAATTGAATCGAGGACCCTTCAGTCTGCAGGCGTGGTGATGCTCTATCCACTGAGCGAAACTGGCTAGTGCTATTGGTTTGTTTTTAATTTTTTTTTTTACTTAGTTTTTTTAAAAGCATTCATGTGCGGTAGATATCAATATCTCTTCATTGTGTGTGTGTGTTGTATATATGTGTGTATACCTACATGCACATATAGTGTAACTAAAGGCCTGGTGCACAAATTTGTGCACTAGTGGGGTCCCTTGGTCTGGCCTGCAGGATTGGGCCGAAACCTGCTCTCCGATATCCCCCAAGGGGTCCTGGATTGTGAGAGGGCACAGGCCAGGCTGAGGGACCCCACTAGTGCACGATCGGGGCTGGGGAAGAATGTGGGAGGTTGGCCAGCTGAGGAGGGACCGCGGGAGGGCTCCAGAACGTGTCCGGCCGTCTCACTCAGTTCCGATCAGCTGGACCCCAGCAGCAAGGTAACCTATCGGTCAGAGCATCTACCCCCTGGTGGTCAGTGCATGTCATAGCGACTGACCAACCGGTCAACTGTTTGCCTCCTGGTGGTCAGTGTACATCATAGTGAGCAGTTGAGCGGCCTTATATCATTAGCATACTACAGGCCTGATGCACGAAATTCATGCAAGGGGCTCGGCCCTCGCAGCCCCAGCTTCATCCAGAAGGTTGTTTGGCTGTCCGGTCTAATTAGCATAGTATGCTTTTATTATTATAGATTATGCTTTGATTGGTTGAACGGACGACCGGACACTTAGCCTAGTGGTCAGCAAACTGCGGCCCCTTGAGTGTGCCTCTTCCACAAAATACCACATGTGGGCGCGCACGTACAGTGCAATTGAAACTTCGTGGCCACACTGAAGGGGCCAAAGAGCTGCATGTGGCTCGCGAGCCGCGGTTTGCCGACCACGGACTTAGCATATTAGGCTTTTATTACATAGGATTCTTTTCGAAATATACAATGTTGGCATAAGTCGTTGCCTACATTTTTCTGTGTACTCTAAGTGAAATTAGAGGTGCTAGAACTGTTCGTTTGGTTTGGGAAGCTGAGGCTGAGGTAGTAGTACTGGCTGTATAGGGTCACTACTACTCCCCTAAGACTTTCCCACGTATTAGTGCTTTGTTTGTGTCTCCCTTTTGTGTGGCTGCTGAGGAGGGGGAGAATTTCTGGCATGAGAAGAGATTAGGGAAAGTTCTATTGAGGAGATATCATTTGAGCTGGGTTGAAAAAGAAGGGTAGGATTTCAGAGGGTAGGAATGTGGGTTGGAGGTGGAGGGGCATTACAAAGATAGACTAACATGGGCAAAGACAGAGAGGTAAGAAAATACTGTGAGTGTTTAGAGAACATTGAGACCAGTTTGTCCAGAATATATGACTGACACAAAGGACTTTGTAAGTAAAACTAGATTTTAGAATTCTCTTAACATACTTAATTTTATTTCATTTGAATATCTCTTTTGGGATTCTTAGCTTCCTGATTCTCTATTTAA